ACTCGGGCGACATATACCCGAAAGTGCCGCCGATGTGAGAGGTCAGCACGACGTGGTCATGTCCTGTGTCTAACACCCTCTCCCCGATGGCTGCTAATCCGAAATCCGCTACGACGACGTGAAGCTTCTCGCCAGATCCCTCGCCGAGCAGAATGTTGCTGCTCTTGATGTCCCGATGGATAATTGGCGGCCTGGCGGCGTCGTGAAGGTAGCCGAGCCCCTTGGCAACCTGGAAGGCGATGCTCATGCGCTCAGCGGAGGGAACGGACTCTCGACACTTTGGTCCGTGTCCGGCTCTTTTGCATCCCTCCCACTGACGGCCTTGGGAAACAGCCGCCCGTGCAGGCTGCCTCCTCTGAAGAACGGGTACACCAAGATGCAGTGATCGCCCGCGACGCAGTACCCGACTAGCTGTACGAGGTTAGCATGATTGAGGCCACGGAGGGTGTTCACCTCGGCCACAAACTGGCTCCGTTTGATGTCCGTTAGCTCGCCCGTCATCACCTTTATCGCGACCTCCTTGCCGTCGAGCGAGCCTCTGTAAACCTTCCCAAACGCTCCTTTCTCCCCAATTCTTCGACCCTCGCTGAATTTGTCCGTACATTCCGACAGGATTCTGAAAGGCAACTGCTTGACCCGGGACGGCATAAGTCCCCACGCGTCCAACGCTTCATCTTTTATTAAAGATGAAGTCGCTTGCTCACCGACTTCCAGGGGACGTTCCGGACCAGCTGGTCGGCGGCGCGCTCTCCGCCATAGGCAAATCAAGCTGGCAATGATTACAACGGCGACCACTGTCCCAGCCACCACAGCGGTTACCATAACCGTGGGATTGCTTGGTTTTGATTCTACAGCACCTTCAGCTGCGGGGGGAATGCTTGGTTTTGATTCTACGGCACCTTCAGCTGCGGGCGGAATGCTTGGTTTTGATTCTACGGCATATTGGAGTCCCGAGCTATCGACCCGAATATATTGGAGTCCCCCGCGACCTCCCGTACCATAAACCAGACGCTCTCCGGAAGGGTCCAAACCGATTTCGGTAATCTCCTGAAAGGCAACCGAGGAGGAAGAAAGACGGGAGGAGTCAGAAACAGACAAGGACGTGATGGTGCCACTGTAGGAGTACCAACCAGGAGCAGAGTCCTCGAAGGAAGGGTAGGCTACGCTCAAGATGAGATGGGAACCATCTTTCGAAAGGGCCATCCCCATCACGGAAGCCGTCGAATTCGGCCGTTCTGCAATTCTCGACCCGTTCCGCTGGTCGTAAGACCACAAGTAGGTTAATAATGTTGATTCGTCATCCGCCGAGTCCGGTCCCTGGGTTGCCCTCGATAAGTTGGCTTTTCTGATCGACGTAACGCCTTTGTTTGAGTTGCTGCAGGTCTGCTCGAGGACATAGTACAGCCCTTTCTGAGGCGAAACCACCAGGTTCGTGATTACAGACTTACAATTCTCTGTAGGGGATGGATGTGAAGCAACGACCCGCATCGAGGTGTTGATCAAGACTCTGCGTGGAAGTGATGATATGTCCAGAAGAGATGGCGGGGCTTCCGATGTGGGCGCCTGCAGAAGGCGCCCAACCACGTGCGCATCGGAATTCGCAATCACAGCCAACGATGAGAATCTGCGGGACAGTCCGTCGACCGGACTGTAGCTGGGGAGCATGGCAAGACCACGAAAAAGGAGAAGAGGAATACGCGCACCAAGAGGAAGCGCACGTGTCGATTTCTGATGACACAGAATGCCGCACGGACGTTCCTTCTCTCGCGAAAGCGCATCGGCTTCATCAACCAGCTAGGCGACATCACATTAGTAAATGGAAGGTGGAAAAAAAAAAAAAAAAAAAAAAAAAAAAAAAAAAGTCTACTACACTGAAAAGGAACGGGGAAAACCACCCTACGCAGGGGGGCTTTATTACGTATTAGCTGGCGGGGATGGGGGGCAAGCGACCACATCAAATCACAGGGGGGCTTTATTACGTATTAGCTGGCGGGGATGGGGGCCAAGCCACCACATGAAATCACATCACCATGCACAATCCCGAGCCGTCCCGCTATCAGTGGTGCACACATGGTAGCGATAAACGAGCTGAGGGGCTGTTGTGCCCTGAGCCGTTAATTGCAAAACTGGCCCATGAGCCCTTGATTGCCACGCACCAGCGACTCAGCGAGTGGAAGTAAGCTGTTTGTTAAAAAAAAAAAAAAAAAAAAGGTTGACACGAGCTGATTAATGAGGGATCCGCGTTCTTGCCCAGCGCTGTTTATCGAGGAATAAACGTTCTTCCCCGCCCGGCCGTTGATCATGGTCCCACTGTAATGCGGCTGGTCACGGTGACGTGGAAAGATTACTCGTCAGCTTCCCTCGCCACACCACTCTTGAAACGGGGAATTTTTTCAAGAGCTGTCCGACGTTCTCAAGAGTCGGGTTTTCAAGAGTTTTCCGGCCCCTCGCCACACAGCGCTCTCGAAAGGGCGATGGTGTTGGACAACCAATGAAAAACGACAGCTTTGTTTTTTCCGAATGGCGTCAGGATAACGGCCTGACAACTCTCGAAAATCGGAAGTCCCTGAAGAGTTCGGCCGAGGACGAATGAAAACGCACGAGTTGCAGGCTGGGGTTTCCCATCTTTGGAGAGCTGCTCTTGGAAGGGTTTCAAGAGCTGCTCTGACAGCCCTTCACTGCCCCAAGTTTGGAGAGGCTGTGTGGCTATGCACCAACTCTTGAAAACGAGTTTTCAAGAGTGGTGTGGCGGCACCCTGAGGGCCTCGCCACACCACTCTTGAAACGGGAAAATTTTTCAAGAGCTGTCAGGCGTTCTCAAGAGTTGGGTTTTCGAGAGTTTCGGGCCCCTCGCCACACAGCAGTACACAGCACTCTCGAAAGGGCGATGGTGTTGGACAAAGAATGAAAAACGACACTCGTGCAGCTTTGTTTTTTCCGAATGGCCTCAGGATAACGGCCTGACACCTCTCGAAAATCAAGAGCCCTTCGAGTGCCCTTGGGAGGACGCTTGAAAAGATCGGTGCTGCAGGCTGGTCGTTTCGGAGTTTCGAGAGCTACTCTTGAAACGACGTTCTGACAACTCTCGAAAGAGTTTTCGGGCTACAACTCTCAAGTGGCTGTGTGGAGTGGCTGTGTGGCGACGCGTCCAACTCTTGAAACCGCGTTTTCAAGAGTGGTGTGGCGAGGCCCTAAAATGGCCAACAGGCCGTGCATTATTTCTACCAGCAGAGAGATACTGCCGCGGCTTGGGATAATTGGTAGAAAGAGCCCACGCCAAAACCTATTGGGTTTACCCAAAAACCTAACTCAGTGGGTACACTATTGAACTGTTGAAATACAGACCTGTGTTCGAATCCAAATGATGGAACTCGATGAGTAAAACCAAATATTTCTGAATTGCCTGGGGCCAGTCAGCTTAAACCACCGGTCCCCCCGCCACAGAAAACCTGTGGTCCCGGCGAGTTAGGGGCGTGCTTTTCCGCAGGTAGCCGCCCGTAAGTCACCGATTTACCACACTCCCAGTCAAGTAGACCAAGGCCCCACACTGCAGACGGCGGACGATGCCGGATTCCATCGACGGCCGTCGCGACGTGAATCCGGTCCAGTGTTCGGGGCGCCGCCTAGCCTCTATCGGACTTCGTAGCGTTGGCGGGAAATAAGGGCCGAAGGCGGAAAACAAAAAAAAAGAACAAAAAATTGGTGGCCGCGCGAATTTCTTTTTTTTTTTCCCGTCATTACCGTTGTGCCTGAGCGGTAGATATAGACATATGTGAAAACACGTTCGGAACGCCGTCTTTTTCGGTCCATTGTGTAGGGTTTCCGTTCGGCTTGCCCGAAACGACCTCCGTTCGAGATCGTGCACGGCAGTCCGCCATCGCCACGATCCCCGAACGGAAACTCAGCATGCTTCCTCTCTTCTTTCCCTCCACCGTCATACCCAGCCCTCAAGTGCCCGCCTTCTGCAGCGAACCCGACGGTGCCGTGGCCATCGTTGCAATGCGGCGGGCAGATAGCGTTGCTGCGGGTTACGTTACCACCTTCGTGCGCAGTAGTGCGTGTTCGTTTAAGGTTCGTTTGTGGTGCTGAGTGTCACTGTCGCGTGCTGACATAGCCGCCTCTTCTAAGTTTCACCATCTGCTGCACCTCCTGTGTGCACCTCGTGTGCCAAGCACAAACGTTTGTCGCAACGCGGGACACAGTACAGGCGACATTGAAGTCACCTGCACTGGCTGTGTGCGCTTGTGCGCGTGAGTGTTGTTGCGTGTCTGTCGATGTGCTGCCTCGTCCTTCGGCCGATTCTGTTGTGCGCATGCGCTCGCACGTTTGGAGTTATGTCGCCCGTTTGTGTTCCTCCACGTGGGCGCAGGTTTGTGTAAGTGAGAGTGTGGTCGTGTGCGTGTGCGTGCGTGATCGTGTGCGCTTGTTTTTGTGTGTTGCGGACCCAGTTTGGTGTTGAATTGGTTTTATTTTTTGTTTGTTTTTGTTTGCATACTTTTCTCATGTTCTTCTTCTTCTTCTTCCTTTCTTCTACTTCTTCTTCTTCTTCTTCTTCTCGGTCGCGACCCTCTGTTCTCATATTGGTCGTGATGGGGGACTGCGTGTTTGCGACTCTGAAGTGTGCATGCGGAGAAGTAATGAAACACGTAGTCGACCTTTGTGCGAGAAGCCGTCCGCGACTGCTGTTTCCAGTTTTCAGTTTTCATTTTCCTTTTTCTTCATCTTCTTGTTCTTCTTCGTCTTCTTTTTCTTCTTCTTCTTCTTCTTCTTCTTCTTCATCATCGATTCGGCTTCTCTATTTCAGGCCCTTTGGTTCTTTTTCCCTTTCCTCGTTTTATCATCTTTGAAAGATTTTCTGTGATTCGTATTTCTCACTTCGTCTTCTTCATTTTATCTTCTTCTTCGTATTCGCTTCTGCTTCTGGTAGTTCTGCCTTCTTATTCTTCTTTATATTCCTTATCTTGGTCCTTGCCTGTGCTTCTTGTCAGTATCGCCGGTTCTTCGTGTTCGTCGCAGCTTCGTCCTGTTCTTCGACGCTTGTCGTTTTTATTGTTTTTTGTCTGTTTTTTCCTTTACTTCTTCTTGTTCTTCTTCTTCTGCTTCTTTCGTCTGCCTTCCTCTTCCTATACTTCTTTTTCGTCGTCGTGTTTGTGTGTTCTTCGTGTTATGTCCATCGACACGCTTATTGTTGTTGTTGTCGCCCAATATCTCATCCGCGTCGCCGCCCTCGTATCTGTAGGGTCCAGCGGCATATTTGATTTCCTTCGTTTGTGCTCTTCGAGCCGATGTCACACACGGGGGTGGGGGTGGACGAACCCTCGACCTACATCCACGTGGGCGGCCTTGTATGCAAGATGATTTGAACAGGGGGGAGTCTTGTCAGGAAAAAGATAAACAAATATTTTTTTTCATTAATTTTTTCACATTTCCGCTCTTATAAATTTGTGTCGATATATTTACTTGTTCCCTTGCTCTTTTCTTTGCCTCGTTGTCTTCTGGCTGTGTGAAAGTACGTCAATATGACACACGAGGGTGGGGGCAGCCGACGCTCAACCTGCATCCATGTGAACGGCCTTGTACGCTAGAGGTTATGAACAGGGGGAATTGTAAGGAAGAAGAAAATAAATGAATAAATATTTTTTTTGTTTTCCTTTTTTCGCTGTTGCGCTCTGATATATATCTATATATATATATATATTGTCAAATAGAACTGCCCGGTAAACCGTAGGCAGAGAGGGAGAAGAGGACAACAATATATATATATATATATATATATATATATACACGGTTGCCAGGCCGAACGTACGGAGGCCCCTAAGATGACCCCCGAACGTTCGGGCGTTCGGGTCCCCGTACGGGGCCCGAACTTGAAGGGGTTCGGACCCCGCAAAAAACTATTTTCGTACCTAAATTTGTTTTTTTTATTTTTATTTTGTTTTTGTGAGTTCTCTGTTATGTAAGCTACCGGTATCTCGATTTTGAAGTCATTCTGTCAATCCAAACAATAATGAAAACTCGGCAAAGATGGTGGTGTCAAAACTTGCTTTCCCACTTACTAATTTATTTTTGTTCTCTTTTCACTTTTTGTTTTTTCTTTATTTCGGGGCCTGAAAAAAAATATTATTTTTTTAAACTTTATTTGTAGGTTCTCTATTATGTAAGATACATATGTATAACATTTCATGGCATTTGACAAAGCCAAAAAAAAAAAAAAATTGCCAAAGATGGCGGTGTCAAAAACTTGCTCGCCCACGCAATAATTTCATTCTCGTTTTATTTTTTCTTATTTTCATTAATATTATTTATTTTTCGTATTTGATTTTTATTTCAAATTTGGTACGGAATTTGGATGTACTGTTGAGGCAAATGTTGTTTAGTTTATTTATCTGCACGACATAGTTGTTTTTCAGAAGTTTTGGAAACTTTTTTTCTTTTTCTTTTTTTGGTTCCACGTTCGACCGAACTTCCGAACGCGTCGAGAGGGGGTCCCAAACGTTCGGGCGTTTGGGTTCGGGTGATCGGCCCGTCCCGAACGCCGGCAACCCTGTATATATATATATATATATATATATATGAGTCGGTGAAACTCCGACGAAACAGTTTGTCACAGCCCCTCGTTTGTTGTCCTCTTCTCCCTCTCTGCCTACGGTTTACCGGGCAGTTCTATTTGACGATATATACTAGGACTTCGCTAGCTTCCTGCTACAGTTTTCTCCAGTCAGGTGGAGCGCAGTGGTCGGGGCCGTCACTACGCGGCCATGCTGTGCC